AAAAGAAAAATCCCAAAACACTTCACAATTTATCTTTAAAGTTAATGTTGCATTAACTTTAGCTAATTTGTGTGCAGCAAGTCACACAAACAGCAAAGAGAGAATGATTTGCTAATCTATTTTAGTTTTGGCTGATTGAGGGATAAATATTGGCCAAAAAGCCATTGGGCCAATTGTCACTGTGCGAGCTCTTCGAAACAGCAGTCATGCTTAATCTAACATTCCTTTTTTTGGTCTATAACATTGCATGTTTGTTATCCTCAAGAACCTGTTGAACTTCACTGTTTGAAAACCTACTTGAGTGACAAGGTTTCTCCTCATTGTTCCTCCAGATCTATGCAGTTTTTCTTTATTTCGATGACATTTAGTTATTAAAACATTCACCAGCTGAATGACTGTGTTTCCATGATTCTAACTGCAGTGTTACTTTTCAGATAATGCCACTGAGTATATTAGTAACATCTGAGAGGGTAGATGAGGCCTTGAATTTAATGTCCCATCTCAGAAACAGAACCTCCAACAATGCAGTGCTCCCTCAGTGCTGCACTGCACTGGAGCCAAAGTTATTTGCTCAGGTCTCTAGGGCTTCTGACTTAGATGCAAGAGTGCTGCTATGCAAACAAAGCTGAGACCTGCAGTTTGATTGTGTCGTTTGATGTGATGAACTGATCCCTGTCTGACTGCTACTACAAGTTGTAAATATTGCAATGCATTTATCACAACAATAAATGTACCTGTCAGGTTAGAAGTTTTAAGATTATATAAAGAATAGATAAAATTGTGTTACTCTGCAAGATCTCTGATACATAAAATCTGATGACTAGCAAGTTAATTAATTCTACTGATTCTTTATTGCAAGTAAATGTGTTTTATGTAATGTGTTTTATTCCTCACACATTAAAGTCTGGCCCCCCGCCCATCCTGTTATTTATATTAATTAAGAAACACTCAGTAGATAGCTGTCCAACCAAAAGCTGAGTGACTTTAGCAGACATTGCTACTTACAGATGTAGAAATGTTTTCTTGTTAGTGGAATAGGTGTAAACAGGATTTTGATATCCTGCTTTATGGGAAAGTGCTTATATTGCCATATGCTACAGCATGGTGATGAACTGGGAAATGTTCAATGGAATTGTGCAAATTTTACAGGCAGTTTGGCAAGATGAAACAAGTTCACTTATAGCTAAAGTCAAAACGTAACTAGCAAAAAAAATGGTAAATGGATGTCCAAAAGCATCAGCCTGTGGCTCAATTCAAATTGAGCCTTTAGTGTGTCATCTGCAGGAAATACTGAGCTGTGAATGTTAATCAAGCATCCTGACGCAGCTAGCCAGAAGGATGTTTTTGATGCTACCATGTCCTTTTTACCCTTATGATGAGTTTCTCACTCTATTCCACTCCACTTCCATAATATTTCCCGCCTCTGATGCGCCTCAGTTTCTCTACTGCTGGAATTCTCATCCATGCTATTCCTACTTCCAGACCTCTTCATCCTCCACATATATTAACTCATCCAAAATACTGCTAGTTGTATTCTAAACTGCATTATTCATTCGTGTGTTCATAAGAAATAGGAGGAGTAGATCATACGGCATCTTGAATCTGCTTTACCATTCAATTCAATCATAGTTTGTCTTCTGCTTTCCATTCTCCTGATCATTCCTTATATTCTTGATTTCCCAAGATCACAAAAGTCTGCAAATATTCTCATTACATGTGGCGGACAAACCCCTCTGGGGTAGACACTTATAAACATGCCGCACTTAAGGGCGGCATGGTGGCTCAGTGGTTAGCACTGCTACCTCACAGCGCTAGGGACCCGCGTTCAATTCCATCTTTGGGTGACTGTATGTGTGGAGTTTGCATTTTCCAAAGATGTGCTAAATCGCCCATAGTGTTCAACGATGTGTAGGTTAGGCGCATTAGCCATGGGAAATGTAGAGTTACAGGGAAAAGGTAGAGCGATGGGTCTGGGTGGGATGTCCTTCGGAGGGTCAGTAGGACTTATGGGCCGAATGGTCTGTTTCCACACTGTAGGGATTCTATGAACATTTGCACCCCTCTAAAGAAGTCTTTCCTCAACTGCATCCAAAATAATCAGCCCTTTGTCCTGAAACGATAAGCCAAGACCACTCAGTGCCTTATCAGTCGCTTTAGGACCTTGCATGTTTCAATGTAATGACCTGGCATTCTATATTCCAGAACATGTAGACTTAATTGACTCAGCTTCTCATCATAAGACAACCCTCTCATTCCAGGGACTAATCTCATGAAAACTTATTGTTCTGCCTCCTATAAGTATACCTTTGGGAAAAAGAAAATATTTTTATGAGGAGTACACAACAGAGACAGATGTTCTTAACTAATTTTGATGACTTAAACATGTCGTCTAAATTCTCCATCATAAGTGCTAAGCTGGAAACAGTGCATAACAATCAAGGAACAGCTAACTCTGGGACGACGTTATTTTTACTGCACCTCATCAGCCAAAACCTCATGAGTTTATCTTTGTCGTCTTCCATATAATGAATTTCTAATTTGAACTGGGTTACTAGTGAGGGAGACGGAGTGGAAATGGTATAGTTCTTCAGCCAAAGGGAGCCCACGTGGAATGGGATGGGATGCCAGCATTTGTTGCCCATCCCTAATTAACCTTAAACTGAGTGACTTGTTAACTCATTTCAGAGAGCATTTGCGATACAGGTCAGGAGTTACATGTGGGTCAAACCAGGTCTAGGTGGAAAATTTCCTTCCCTAAAGGGAATTAGTGAACTAGAAGGGTTTTTATGACGATCAATGACAATTTTGTGGCACAATGATTGAGACTTGCTTTCAATTCCAGGTTTTATTAATTGAGTTCAGTTTCCACCAACTGTCACAGTAGGATTTGAATCAATGGCCCCTGAACATTAGCCTGAAATTTAGTTTAGTAGCCCAACTATGTTACCATTATGCTACCATCTTCTAGGTGGATACACATTAAAACACAAAACTTCAAAGGTGATCATCCATGGAATATTACCTGAACCACATTAAAATTGACATGGGGTCAAGCAGATTACAGAATTAAATGTGTGGCTCAAAGAGTGGTGTGTGAAGAAGTAGTTTCAATTCATGGAGCATTGGCATCTGTACTCAGGGAAGAGCGAGATATTTAGTTGGAATAGCTCTACTTATATTGGGCCAGGACTAATATTCTGGCCAATGTTATAACTAGGGTTGTGGACAGGATTTTAAACTAATACAGGAATTCAAGTGAAAGGAGATTTACAAAGACAAAGGTTGAAGCAATCGAACATTATAATGTATATAATGATGAGACAGTGAGACAGGAAGGCACAGATCATTTAACAGAATAGTAAAAAAAGATGAAATTAAAGATTTCTCATCTGAATGTAAAAAGCATCTACAAGAAAAAAGTTAGACGAACTAGTGGCACAAAAGGAGTATATAGTTTGGATTAATTGGCATTCTAGCAGACATAGATGAAAAGTGATCAATAAGTATTCCAAGGTACACGATATTTCAAAAATGCAGACAGATTGGCAAACAAAGAGGGATGGCCCTGACAATAAAGAATGATATAAGCACAGAAGTGACATTCATAAACATAAGGATTTGACCTCAGACCGTCACCTCAAAGCATAAGAGCAGGTGTGGTTTTCCCTCTAGTTGGTTCCTTCACCACCTGCTACAGACGCAATTTAGCAGCTATGTCCTATAGAATTTGACCAGTTCGATCAGTAGTGCTGCTGCTAAGCCATTCTTAGTGTGGATGTTGAAATTCCCCAGCCAGAGTATATTCTGAGCCATTTCCACCCTCCACAACAAATGTGGATTTGAAGGGAATTGATTCTGAAGGAGATTGATAGAGTAGACACTGAAGATTGTTTCGCTGGTTGAAGAATCTAAAATAGTCTCAAGATTAAAAAAAGCTGATTATTTAAGACTGAGTTATGGAGAAATTATTTCACTTAAAAGGTTGTGAATCTTTGGTAGTTGTGGATACCCCATTGTTGAGTATATTTAATGCTGTGATTGATATATTGAATGGGGGGAGCAGGCTCAGTGGGCTCAAAGATCTATTCTTGCTCCTGTGTCTTGTGTGTTACCAAACCTGCTTAGAACTTCCACCATGCAAATCTTTCACACTATGGAAAATGGGCACTCCTATAGTACTTAAATTGAAAGTCACCTCCACTATATTTGAAAATAAAGATAAGTAAATACCAAAGATTTCCAAGTCTTTTAGAGCTAACTATAGAAACAAAATTTGCAATTTTTCACATCCTTGTGACCAACTTTACAAATACTGCTTTTTATAAAAGTGTTTCTCTTCTTTGCTTCTGTATTTCTTTAGTCTTCCCTCCCATGTACTTTTTTTTCCCTTTCATCTCTGCCTTTCATGGCTTTTATTCATTACCTCTCCCACCTTTCCTTCAACATGTCTTTTAACTCTTCTGCCGGTCAGTCATTGCATGTTCCCTTCTATCTCTTTCCTCACTGCCTGTTACATGTATCTCCTTCACTTCTTTCCATATGCCTCCGCTCCACTTCTGTGTCAAATCTTTTGAGACAACCTTCTTTCTTAAGCAAATATTTCCTGATAAAATTTGAAGGTGCAGATGACAGTACTCTTTTAATATCTAGTCAAATAGATCAGAGATGCAAACGGAGGTTGAGGCAAGTTCTTCAAATGCTGGAAAGGGCCTGACATCTCAATAAATATATTTATTTTAGGTTGGTTTGAATATACTATTTAGAGACATTTCCTTAATTAATTCTGACGTAATTGTTAAGCAGCCTACTTTGAGATAATCTGTTTTAGCCATGATGCAAAGTGTAATTTGAAAGCAAAGGTTTGTGTATTGAATATGGCTGCATATAATGTTTTAAAGCTAGTTAAGTTATTCCTTCGTTCAGTCTTTGGTTACAAGGAATTGTAAGTTCAAAACACAAATCTTACTCTGTATTTGAATATTTCCTCTGTGGTGTTTCAGGTTCACTCCACTTGATTATGCCTTGCTTGGAGAACATCAAGAGGTTATTCAGTATATGCTGGAGCATGGAGCACTATCAATTGCTGCAATTCAAGACATTGCTGCTTCCAAAATCCAGGCTGTTTACAAGGGTTATATGGTCCGCAAGGCTTTCCAGGAGAGAAAAAATCTTCTCATGAAGCATGAACAACTACGGAAAGATGCAGCCAAGTGAGTATTAATCCTGAATAATAAACTCAAATTCAGTCGACTTATATGCCAGTCAGTTTTAAAAACACTTTCTGTACAAGAATGCTAAAATGTATTCCTTGAACATTGGCCTCGGTTTTATTATAAATGTTGAAGGAACAAACTTTTGCTGTTGACCTTGTGTACGTTTGCTGATTGACTTTTTGTAGTCCTGTTAGTGGAGATTTTCTTTTATCTGGTGTCTGATCTAGTGTTGTGCCGCCTTCTGTAAAGCTGTGAATTCTGTGACCAGGGAAAGCAGCAGGACGCTCTTCAACTAATCAGATTGAAGAATCCTCACTGGAATACACGACGCTGAATTTTCCCACTTGCAGTTAAAATGTGGTGGTGTTTCATGGCATCAGATCTGCTAATATGGTCAAAGTCGAGTTATCTTACAGTTTTCCTGTTCTCACTTTATTAATTATGTGAGAAAGATGTTGGATGTGTTCATCACTGAACCTTATGGCAAGTGAGACAAAATTGCCTTTCACTTCCGGAGCCTTCCATGCCTCTATTGCAATATTTGAAGCCCAGCTGGATACCACTTCTGATGATGCAAACTGTAAACAGCCAGTTCACACTGTGAATCTTGTCTCTAAACCAAGAAGACATGACACAGAAGAAAACTCAAGCTTACTCCTTGATTCTGGAAGACAGCTTCTGATAGAAAGGGTGGTGAAGAGAAAACTGGTACTTTTTGTCACTGACCACAGAAAGAAGCCATGCCACCAGGCCCAGTCAACCTAGACAGAGATAACAACACAAGTCAGTGCTGTCTCCAGCTTTAAAAGGAGTGCCTAGCAATGCCACAAGAACTTCAATGATTTCCTATGCTCCACCATTTCTCTGCTACCTAACATTTGAAGGGTCATTAGCTCTGTCACGTGCAAATGCCTCCACAAAACTGGTGGATTACAACCCTCAGTATTTCATTCATCATGTTCACACAAAGGCTCACACCCACCTCATTTTCAACAACTACAAACCTTTCCTGTCCTACTCATTCACTCAGGACACCTCAGCACCTTTCCCGCTTAAATGTTACCAGTAACTGCTCTTGCATCCACTTCCATCATACTCATTCAGTCTCTTTGTCTTACTGCAGGAGAAACTGACCTACATCCAGGCTAAGAAGCCCAAAACAGATGGGATAGTCGTGTACATCAACCTCCTCACTCCATACAAAGGGAAGATAGCGAAGCTAGCAAGGGAAGAACAAAACTGCTAATATGCTAATGGGGAGCCACCAATGGACAACTAACTCACTAAGCTCCATCGTGCTGTGCTGTTGTCCCATTACCATCAATGTTAACTCATTCTAACTGGAGTCATAGAGATTTACAGCGCGGAAACAGGCCCTTCGGCCTAACGCGTCCATGCCGACCAGGTTTCTTAAACAGAACTAGCCCCGTTTGCCTGCTTTTGGTCCATATCCTTCTAAACCATCTTCTCCAACTAATCCTGCCCCCTTTGCAGGCAGTACCAGCAGCCAGAGAAAATCCAAGCTCCACCTTCAACTCTGAGGGGGAAGCCAGTGAAGCCTCAGAGGATACACCAACAAGGTATTTACCTGCATTCTCCACCAACTCAAAAACTTTATCCCTGTGGATACTCTAACCAAATTAGAGTCAGGAGTACAGTTTGGTGAGCATGTCACTGACAAGTTGCCAAATTAATAACGGAGGTTCCTAGTACTGAGAGAGCTTCCAGAAAGCAGGCACCTACTCAATTCCAGCTGTTATAATATAGAGAGGACAGCTGAATCAAATCAGCCTCCTAATCTCTGTATTCACAACACAGTAGAATTAAACCCTCAAGGACCCTCAAAATCAACCCCAATGGTTTCTAACCAGACCTTTTGAATGCTCAGTCCAGACTTTGTGAATAACCGATTCTATACACCAGTTTTATAGTTAGACAAAAAACTTAACAATTTATTAACAATGCACTAACTTTAGCAGAGCAAAATTAATCTGACCTGAAGTCTATAATATTGATTTGATTTGATTTTGATTTTATTGTCACGTACTCAAGTGCAGGAGTAGAGTGAAGAGTATAAAATGATGCCACACAAGACGCCAACTTAGGTACAGATGCATTGGTATGGAATCAAGAACAAGCTAGAAAGAAAGAGCAAAGTTAAGAGTTAAACATTACAGTACAGTCTGTTCTGCTATAATGCATGTTCCGGCAACGCAAATTGGCTATAACGCGACTGATGCATAGGGGAACGCTATTTCTAAAACGCAAACTCATGTTGGCTATAACGCGATTCGATCGGTCCGCGGTGGAGTATGCGTCAATGTCACATGATCGTTTTGCTGGCTTTGTCCTGAACATGTGCAATTTTGGCTTCAGCCTGTCGTTGTGTACCACTCTACCAACCCGCGAACCTTGAAAGGTTACCTTAAGTCTACTTTAGGCATCTACTTTAAATCAAGCAAAAGAGGTTGGATGATGGGACAGTTTTTTTTGACCTTTTTGTTGATGTTTTGGAAGATGTTTTTAGAAAGTATTGCAGGAAAGAAAATGTGATTTTCAAGATTCTCCTCATCTTGGATAATGCGCCAAGGCATCCTCCCACCATTGGTGAGCTTACTGAAAATATCAAAATGCTCTTTCTACCCCCAAACACAACCTCTCTTCTTCAAACCATGGATCAGGGTGCAATAGCAGCTTTTAAACCTTATTATTTAAGGAGCACATTTAAGAGGCTGATTGCAGCCTGAGGGGGATAAGGACAGTGTTTTTCAATTTTGGAAGAGCTTTAACATGAAGAATGTAATTGACGTTATCGTGGAGGCTTGGGGTGATGTTAGTAAGGACTGCTTGCATGCAGTTTGGCGGAAGCGTCTCCCAGATTTTTTTCAAGATTTTAAAGGCTTTCATCCATCAGAGGAGCTCCCAAGAATCAACGAACATTATGTTGATCTTGCAAAGCAAGTTGGATTTGAAGAAGTAGAGAGTGAGGATGTTGAAGAGCTGCTTGAGTCCCATTGTGAAGACCTCTCTACAGCTGATTTACAACTTGTCGCTGTGGGGAAGTGGAAGCTGGAGATGAAGAAGAAGTAGTCCAGGATGCAGCACCATGAGAGCTTTCCACTTCTGTTTTTACTTCTATCTTGTGGGAAATTGAGAAGCAGTCGGAGCTGTTGGAGGACAACAATTACATTGCAGAATGCAGCAGGGTAGCAGTTCGTGGAATAAGATCTTATTTGGCACCCTATGAACAGCTTCTTCATGAAAGAAGAAAAAGGGCAAAGCAGCAAAAACTGGGTGCTTTTTTTAAGCCAACCCCCAAGAAACAGTCAGAAGACAATGAACCACAGCCTCCACTTTTGGATTAATTATTTTTCGACCTAAACCTGTAACCATAAATGCACCTGAAGGTGATGGTGATGATGATGACGACCATCAGCCCCTGCATTAACAACAGAGCAACCTCAAAACCACCTCCCCCATCAAGTCATCTTCACATTTTTTCAAGGTAAGGTTTTAAATTTAATTTTATTCCGTTATTAGATATGAATTTAACAATTATTCAAACTGTGCTATCCTTTGTGTTAGGCTTTTGAGCGATTTTGAGTGATTTTTTTTGGTGGTCTTCCCCTAACCCTGCTTTTCCCATAGGCCCCCTCATTTCTATAGCGCAATTTTCTGTAACATGACGTTGCGCAGGAACACAACTATCGTGTTATAGTAGAACCAACTGTAATTATAATACAGTGACACCTTCTTAGTTTTAAGTAGAAAATAAAGAAATAAAACTGGAAGTTCAAACATTACGGTCTTTCTTAAGTGCTTAGCCACGGTGGGACTGCATTTCAAGGAATCACCTTAAGACCGGAATTCCACATTGTGGCCAGGCTGGGCCACTGAGGGACCATCAGGCTGGGTCACTGAGGGACCGCCACTTCGGGCAGAAAGTCCACCAAGTCAGCTGAATTTAAACCCAATAACATTATTTTTCAGCCCATTCACACAAAAGAAAGTCACACAAACAAACACATGGAGGGATAAATTAAATAAAAAAGTAAGAAGTCAAAAAAACAAAACTGGCCAGATTACTTATGCGATTTCATAATGTATTGTTTCACAGGCATATATGAATGTGTCCTGTTTGATTTTCTGAAGGCACGGATCAGTGCCACCGTTTGATGAAAATTCAGTAATATGTATAACTTAGTTTCTATTCTCTGAATTCCCGATAGCTGACAATGGGAAGTTAGGCAGGGAGCTTTCAAATCTTCATGCTGTAGCATCAACAGGCAAACCTCTCCAGTCAGAAGCTCCCAGTTGAAAACAGTGCAAGAACTAGTTCAAACTCTCCAGCCTCTCCATCTGTTTGACCATCATGTTCCCTTCTAGACATGATGGCACCAATTCCTAAGTACTAACCTCGTTTATGACCAACCATCAACTATCTGGTTAAACATGCTGTTTTTCCCAAGATTGAAGCATCTGTGGAACACTTTGAACAAGAACAAACCTGCAATTAATTTCAGACCTGGCCTCACATCAGTTTGTTTGTTCTTTTATTTAACACAGCTGCTGCCCACAGTCCAAAGGCAATCTCAGCTCATAGTTCACAGATCCAAACCGAAACTGATAAACGAATAAAATAAGACTAATAAAAATTCAGCAAGGGTTCTAACTCAGGCAAAAGACTTGGTCAACCTACAGAGACAGCAACAGGAGCATTAGGCAGGTGTCCCAGAGGCACAGAAATCTGGAAAGAAGGAAGAAGGAGCCTTCTAATGCTTTATTTAATGGGGTGGCTCAGGCGTGTGAGTGCCTGGCCATCTCCATGGAAAAAAGCTTGATGGCCACTATGAAGACCCGGATCCAGTAAAACACTTGATGACTGAGGGATATGTATTCAGACCTGCATTCCATCACTTCAGGCATGGGTGCTCAATGTCAATAGCAAAGTGAGAGAGGGAACGAGGCACCTTGGCCTCTCTCAAGTGCCCCTTCGA